ATAGATCAAGGTTCTAATGAGTTTAACCACATCTTAGTTTATCCCTTAATGAAAAAGGAAAAAGTTTAAGTCTGACGACATCATTCGACACTCCATCATATTTAAATGTAGCATACAATTTTAGAAAATTAGAACTTTCAAGATGTAAGTTAGGATCTTCAGTCGATGTTCCCCCAAACTGGTTATTTTGTACCATTTGAATAATAACAAGTTTAAGCTCAAATGAATTAGCTACTACAACAAAGTTTTGTATACTCAAATAAATTTCATTTATTGTATGATTAGCATAATCTCTTAAAGGTCTCTGATGATGTTCATTTTCAATTCCTGGATTTTTTAAGTTTGTAGTCATTTTTGTTCAAATTATCTAAATCTTTTTGTTGTTTTTGAATTTTTCTAATACTTATTTCTAACACGAATCGTAAGGTACTTAACCTTCAAATCTTAAACAATGTATACACAAACACAATAAGAAATTAAAATGAGCAAACACACTAAAATTTAAAATATTAATGAAACGACAATTTTTTCAAAAGTTTTTTCAGTTCAAACAAAGTCTTCTAATTTATAGAGTAATTTATCGTTATCTCTCTGGTAACGATGCAAAAAACTTGATGCGGGTTTTTGTGTATGTGTTGTAAATATCTTTTAATACTACAACACACACATCACTGCACAATTAGTAAATATGTAGATCAATCACAATAAAAAACACTTCAGTATAAATAGTTTTATATTTTAAAATCTTTAAGTTGTCAAACCTAATAATTACGCAAGTATACCTATCGCTCAAGTAATAAAGGGCTCTAATGGGGTCCTGAGTATCGATCCCACATGGAGATGAAAATTCTTATGGTTATAATGTAACAAACCATATTCAAACTATAAAAACTTAAATAAGAAAAACAAATCTAAATTAAATTTAATGTATTTTAAATGAAATGTAGCTAAAAGAACTATGTTAACTAAACTATTTTCTAAACTATAAAGTTAAACTTACTAAGACTAAACAAAGTTTTGTAACAAAGAGTTCAAATTTAAAAAATCACTATTCCCCTTTACAATGAGTTTATGGTTAGTGAAGTAATTAAATCATTTAAAAGTATATATAAAACTGTATTGTGTCAAATATGAGCAATCTTATTATTTATCATCTTTCGATTGCAAAAAGAATATTGGCTAATACAGAGTTTGGTCCCTAAATACATCGTTAGATCGAGAGGATACTGGCTTCCACTTCAAAGTTCCCACTTCTCCCTCCCCCGAGCGCTAATAATCTCGCTTTAGTTTCCAAGCAACTGGACCAAATTAGGGATTTAATTCTGTCACCCTAAAATCTCTAATTCTACTCCCATTAAAATATGTTTCCCTATTTATTTCTACTCAACCCCATGGACTACATTCTTACCCATGAATTTGAATGCGGCTCTTACCTTGTAGAAAGGATAGCTCTTTTGGATCTATGTTTCTCAACAAATTTTAACATTTCAATTGGTCATATTGAAAAGTAAATAAAGATTAGAGTTTGAATTATCACAGTTTATTGACATTTAAAACCTTGCACAACAATATTAACTCTTCATAAAATCATATCTCATTCTAGGGAGAAGGATAAATAAGACTACTCAGAATTCATGAGAATGATACGACAAAACATGAATTTTATATAAAAACAAATTTACAAAACAAAGAAAAGAAAAAACACAACTTATCTCACAATCCTCTTCAGGCAAATCCCTTGAAGTTCCCTTTAAGCACTTTCTCTCTTTACAATCACACACAATTCTCTCTTAAAAATACAATGTAGAAGAAATATCTTACCTTCTCTCTCTTGCAACTCTAAAAGAACATCCTCTCCAAAACCTAACTCAAGTATCCTTCTTCACAACACCACCACACGCCACACACCAAAGACCTCCTATACTTCTCTTCTTAAGAGTGACATCAGCCCCTCTTCAAAGAATTTAAAATTCCCTCCTTTTTTCCAAGAGACACACCTCTTTACATCAAGAGACAAATCCCTTCATCCAAGAGACATATATCTTCATTCAAGAGCCTTTTGAAAGTGTCCAAATGCATTGAACCACTCCATGGGGTGTTTGAATTACTTGGGGCGTTCTAGAACCTCTAAAAAATAGTCAATAACTACCACAATCCATCTTAATTCGTCTTTGGCGCCTGTTTTGGCGCCTCTGACACCAGTTTATTGGAGTTGTGCACTGCTCTCTGGATTTTGGTGCATCTTCTCTGTAAAATGGCATCTCTGTCGCCAGTTCTGACGTCAAGATGTTGAAAAATTACATTTTGACTCCAAATTTCTTCATCTTTACTCATTTTTGCTCCAAATTCCTAAAATCAATATACCTGCAACAAAACATTAAAATACATTTCTTTAAAGTGTAATATCACCAAATTTAAGCATAAAATATATAAATTAAATTGCACATTTTTTGGGTGCATCAGTGTCCATGATAAAAATATTACAAAGAGCTATAGAAAATTAAAAACATAATATCTTAAACAACAAATTAAAAGAGTGTAAGTATTCAAGTCAGAATTCCGGGTCCAACTTTTGAAAAACAATCTTCGGGTTGGGTCTCCTAGCAACTTCACGTACTTTAAATAGCTTTCTGTTTCCGCTTTAACACCAGGATATGTATTGAGGAGCTGGAGACATTCCTCAATTGAGTTGTCGTGCGAGGGAACATACCTAACTTTGCAGGTGTCAACCAATGTCTCAATGGTGTCTTTGATGAATGCGACTTCTTTTTACTTTTTGTCCACCCTGGGACGTTTTGTCATGCTTATGGATTGAACATCTATGTGGATTGGGCTGGGACCTTCTCCTAACTCATCTATCTGCACGGTTTCCATTTTCTATGATAAGTAGGCAAACGCCTGCTCTTTTGGGGTGAAAGCATGAGCTCCTGTTGTAACAACTCCAACATCTAGCTTCTCCAGAATTGGCTTAATGCCACTAAATTTGAATTTGTTGGCTGTCGGCACTACCTGTAATAGATTAAATAATTTATTAATGAAATAATTTCAATGTGAAAATTGATGCAAGATAAAGTAATCTTAGATATTTATTTACCTCTAATTTCTAAACCCACCAATCTTCTGGTGCATCAATTGCCCGCTTCATTAGATCCTAACCCAATCTCATTGATCTCCTTTTGAGTTTTTTCCATATTTTACAATATTTTTAAATTGATCCAATTTTTTTTTTAGTTTCATCCGATCTTAATCCCTTACAATCATTTCCTTGAATTTAATCATAAGATTTTGCTACCCTTCTTTATTAAAATAGGTGGTGGGTCTATTTCATAGCTCGACGACTCTCAGACAGTGATTATAAAATATAATTGTGACCTCTCTATCCCACATGGTCGATGATCCGACCACTTTAGCTTTACTCACTGCGTAATGTCAAATAAACGGATTAGCACAAAATATTTCTTTTCATAACACGAAATGTCCCCAAAAGAAAGATAAGCACTTTAGGTGTCAGGCATGTGAATGCAAATTAAGAATATTTTTTATATAAAACAGATAATGCAATTGGCTTATTTAGGAGAAATGTATGTAAAACCCTCATTCCCATCACGAGCTCACGAGAAGGCAATGGCATCATCAGCTTTGCAAACAATGGAATTGAAAAAATCAAGAATTTCTCTCATCAAAGCCGCATGAACCATAACTAAACTTTGGAATGCTAAAGAACTTAATGATGACAATAAATTTATTTGGAGATATCATTATTTCATTTTTACTCCTTGTTTTACTTAGCACGGTCTTTAAAAAAAAATACCCTAATCCAAATATCATAAAGATCAATTGTGATGACTTGTGCACATCTAAAATCCAGAAGGTTAATGAAGTTTTAAAATTTAAGTTTCTTTTTAAAGCATTTGTCATTAAATTTTTTTTATAAAATATGGTTATACCTCGCTCTTTAAGGTTCTCTTTAATTTTTTTTTATATGAAATGCAGTTTAATCAGAAAATACTTAACATAAACTAAAGAAAGGGGGAATTGACATAAAAACCACCCAATTCCTATGTATTTACATATATAACACTTGCAATAAACTTTTTTTTTACATTTTTATTACCTAAATCATTCATCACCAAAAATACATCTATATTAACTTTTAAAATGTGAAATACACATTCTGAGGCATAGGTAAGTGGCATATATTTAAATATTGAAGTTTCGGTTTTAGATATGTAAATCCATATGGATCGAGCGGTATGTATGTAAAGCTTCCGAGGGAAAAAAAAAATTGGAGAACATAGAAAAAGTAGAGAAACAGTAGGGTAATAGGTAGAATGATTGATCCTAGCACACACGAATGGCAGGCAATAGATGCACATTGTAAAGAAGCTACCCTACATATGCATCTCCCAAAATGGCCCCAAATCAATAACAAAAGTACTTCTTTAGGCAATTAATAAAACAATTGAGCAGAAATGATTCACTGGCGAAATTGTAAAGAAGCACCCCATTGTTTAGAAACAGTACTGTCGAATAGAATAAGAACATGAGAACAATAACAACTAACGTTGCCGAAATCCGGGCATAGGACAAACTTAAGGGATTCGACTATCGAAGAGCTCCCAATGCCGAAGAAGGAAGACGTATACCTATTGAGAGTGTCGAAGAAGATGGAGCAGCGGAAATGCCAAAAAAGAGGAACGCTTAGGGCATGAGAGATGCGAACGAGAAACGGTAGGGAGATGCGAACGAGATCACGGGAGTAATAGTCTGAACAAAAACGGGGCCTGTGGGGTCATCCCGCAGGCCACGTGCTTAACAAATTCTAAACCCAGTTTTCTAATCAGTGGGCAAAAAACGCGATCCAAATTGTATGACGGTATTTTTAAAAAACCGCCCGCACTCATAATCTGCCCCAAACGGGCCCATAGTTGCTTATATTCAATATTTTGCAGTTCAAAGTAAAAAATCATTTTACACTCTTAACAGATAAATTACTCAGCAATTATATTATCATGAATCATTAACCCTGATGTACATCACATATTTTGCCTTGGCAACACCAAAAAAGGTGAAACAATAACAAAAAAGTGACTCATTTAATTAGTTTGCTTTCACATTCAATTTTCCCACTGAAAATGGTTGAAAACAAACCCCAAATGAATCATAATAACATTCTCACTAAACCTAAAAAACTTAATCTCTCTGAACCGGAGACTCATAAATGAGCATAATCACCAATAAATCTTCTCTTTAACTCGAGTTAGCGAGAGAGGGAATTTCGACCATGCCGATCTCCATCACAGAGTCTCCTCTTCTTCTTCATGGTACTACCACTCAATTTACTGGTTTCCTCCCTGTTTTTTGCAGCTTGCAACTTTGCCCTCTTGCCATACATATGTTTCGTTCTTTTTGTTAGTAAGGCTCGTCGTTTTTGAGCCGGCGTGCTTTCCTCATCAATGGGTTTGCTTTCCCTCGGCATTGGTTCATCATCCAACAAATGCCAATTATAGATGACACTGTTGTTAAAATCAAATTGACTGATTACAGATTCGCCCGCCCCAGGAAGCAGAGTGTTGAATGTAAGCTCTCCGTTACACCCACCCTTCCGATCGAGAAGAACTGGATCTGGTCTAATTATGGTCCCAAGAATGCTCTTTTGAGAACCGAAGGACTTTAGAGCTCTTTCGTCGGTCAATGAAGTGTAAGCCATTGAGAACGCTGACCTCACCTGAATCAACAAAATGATTTCTGATAGTCGAGAAGATTTTGATTTACTTACAATTTGAGAAAAAAAATTATTTAATTTTAAGTGAAAGATAAAATTCAATTGATGTAAAACTCAAATAAGCTGAGCAAAATGAAGCATAAAATATGTCGATTCAATACAATAAAGAGGCATCCAAACCACATTTCAGCAATCAGCCCATATGAAGAACACGCAGTGCTAAGCTATTGGAACACAATGAAAACCACATATTGCAACTTTCATTTGGACCTTATTGAACAAATAACGAAGAAAATCATGCTTTCAATCCAAATTTATATCAAAATCCAGTACGGTAAGATTTTTAAAATTTTTAATCCATTCCAAATCTGGCATAGATTCTCACCATTATCAGTACTTCAATTAATGGGACACTTGCTTGTAAAAACATCACCACCAGCTTCCATGAAACCAATATTTAACAGCATGCTCAAAAATATCATGGAGAATCAACTGTACCTTTGGACATGCAGAAAGAGCTGCTGACCTGAAACTATACCTAAAATAAAAAGCAGCATTTACATACATACCACTGAGTTCCTATGTATTTACATATATAACACCTAAACTTTACTTTTGACATTTATGCCACCCAAATTTATATATCACATAAAAAATATCACCAGCATTTAAAAAGAGAAATACACCTTTTCATGCATGAGGTGGCATGTATCATGTATGGAAAAACTGAAGTTTAGGTTTTAGATGTGTAAATGCATAAAAGAATTGAGTGATATGTATGTAAATCTTCCAAATAAAAAACGGAGAAATAGGACTTCAACACTATTAAGTTGTATCAACAAAATAAAAGGTTGATGTAGGTATAAATACATGATAAAAGCGTTGAATAATAACAGAGCACCTGAACCATGCCATGATCAATTGGAAAGACAAAAGGCTACTTCAATAGTAAATAATAAAAAAGGATGATCGCGAAGAAGAATAACCTTGTAATAGTTGAATGAATTTCTCCCAATATCATTGGCTGGATCCTACATAAAAGAAAAAACATACCATAACTTTCTACAAGGGTGACATAGAACGGGTTAAAATGACTAAAAGAAGAAGAAAAAAAAAGAACTTCTATGAGGCTAACCTGAGGATCCTCAATAGCAAGAAGATATGGCCTTTCTCTATTCAAAAACCTAAAAAAATAAACCTTTAAAAGTGAACATTTGCATACAAATCCATAATAAATACTAAGAAGATACATCTCATAAATCTAGACCATATTCATGCAAGTTGAGTAACAAGGAAAGAAGATATACCCTTTATCACACTTCAAGAAAAATGTGCTTGACGAGTTACAAGAAACACCAACATCAGTAGTATTCAATTTGCGTCCATAAAATTCAAAAAACTTTGCCTTACTTCATGAAAACAGCAGTGAGATGAGATGTCAAATATAAAAAAGCAAATACTTTATTTAAATCAACTAATTCAGGTATATCACAGATGTAATCAAACTCAATAAGTGCCCCATCAAAGTATAAAAATTAGGAAAAATAAAGAAATGAGGTAATTTTTAAAAAGTAAAAAATTGCAATGAAGCTAAAAGAACATTGTTTATCCAGATCAATTCGACAGATTGCAACCGACCATAAACACAGCACCAGTTGGATGCTTATTGTTGCTGGTAAGTTGAACGTATAAATAACACTTCAGAGGAATTACCTAAAATAGCAAGTAAAATTGGTAGGCAAGATAACATGGCAAGATAAGGAAAAACATAACTGCACAGTACATTAACTAAAAAAAAGGATGGACCAATTTTTGTCTGATCGTATTAAGGAGCCCTCCAAGAGCTTCTACTTCTACGCCATGCATACAACCCTAATCCCTCCTTAGGACAGCGAGTGTTTTCATTGTCATAAAAAAGTTTCATCATGAATTTGAAGGGTAAATTTGGAAAGGCTGGATGGATGTTCATTTGCATGAAAAAATTGATAACATGAACAATTCATAACATAAAGAAATAAATAATATTTTTATATCATATTGCAAAGTAAAAGCTTCCATACATCGATAAATTTATTTATATAATATAAATCAAATTAAGAGTAACTTGATAATATATACTTTTTATAATACAGTGTTTGTCAAGAAAATATAGTTGAAATTTTTGAACATGATATTAGAGAATAATAACAAAAAACTAAAAAAAGTAAATGAGCCATGTTCATCCTTTTCTAAACTTTATAATTTGAAGTGCAACTATAATTGCTCATAAACGTCCTCTCCCATGCAAATGATAAATGTACAAAATTTCACAGCTTAGGCTGCAATTACATGTTACAACTAGCAAGGTCATAGTCAGGGCAGCAAGGTATTCAGCATTATGCAAATACTAATGAATTCCTTCATTAAACCCCAATCTATCATCTATAATCTTGTATGGAGCATCTTGGAAGAGAAAAAAAAAACAACCTTTTCAAAGTAATCAAACAGAAAAAAAAAACATTAATTAAACACATACCAAAAGGATTCCCAAATTATGCTCCATGGACTTTTGGACCCCTTGCATATCTTGTGATCTTCGATATATCTGGCAAAAAGGTTACTTTTGAGATGAAAAGGGCTGATCAAACAACTGACTCGAGATAAAAACCTAGATGAGCAGTTAACTATCTGGTAAGACAAGTAATCCGTAGTTTCTGTACGCTTAGCAAAACTGAAGGTGGAAACAAACATAACAAGCTCCATCTGAGAAGAAGGCAAGCTAAATGGTTACATAAAGCCTATATAATATGGAATCTCACGACTTCAGTTGTGGTGTTAAATTTTGATTTCAGAATGAAAAAGTTTCAATTCTAGAAGTAATGTATTGTATTTGGAACATATTAAAATTGTCTGATTCAGTGTAAAATAAATGTAGAACTTTATATTTTTCTTATTTGGCTTGAAGAAAATATGAAATCAATATAAAATATATAGCGGCAGCTGGCAGGCAGAGGTGGTGACCGGCAATAGGGATAGCAGGCATTTGCTTCACAGAATGCAGTGTATTTAGAATTCACTCAAATCCAACAAACTCTAAATACATCGAAAATGAACAAGAAAATGAAGTCCTAACACATTGTACACTGCATTTGGAATTCATCCAACTAAACACCTAACTTTTGCTGCCAACCAGACAGCCCCAAACAATAGGCATAGGACATATAAGGATAAAATGGTAGAAATAGATTAAATGACTTGGGCAGGAAAAATCAAGGCTAATGATGCACAAACATGGCATAGAAACAGAAAAGAGCAGAAAAGAATTGAAACAACATGGATGGACCAAAAATATCATTGTTAGTAGTTGAGAAAAAAGGCTTGCATAGACCAAACTTCTCATATAACTAACAAGGAAAACAAATGATGAGGATTTATAAAGTAAAAAAAAAAGGATAATATTAAAAAAAAGCTAATGGTAATGACATGATGGCTGCAATTCTGAGCGAATTTACATGAATATTCTAAGCATACAGCATGCTTAAGGGAAAAAATTAAAACCCTGGCAGCTTAAGGTCAAATGTATCTCATGAAGAAAAGATGACATCTTCCATTTAGATTATAAAAATGCAATATGTACCTGTAGGTGTGCTATCAGCATTGCAAGAAGAGCATATGAACCAATTCCACCTGAATATACCTACAAGTGAAATAAAAGTACGAAAAATCACAGGACAACAAACCAAAGGTGGATGAGGAAAAATAAATAACCAAAATTTCAATATCTCAAACCTCATTCAGTTCCCTCTGCTGTAGAAAGACCTTCAAAATCAAACACAAGTGTCGTAGAGGAGGAATCTTTTCCAGGACATCCTGGTGAATAATTCCATTAAAATATAAATTAAATATTAAATTGATTTTACAAAAAAACTAACATCAACTAGGCAAAGCCAGTGGGAATTATTGGGAAACAACCCCTCTTAGGTAATAAATCAAAGATTAAAGGTCAAAATTTTAGGGAAAATGCCCAAAGAAAAAAAAAAGTGAGTTAATGAAGATGTGATCATCACTCATAGGTGTAAGCTCTCCATAAAAAACAGACAAGTTTCCTGTCCATGAAAAAATAAACATGCTTACAGTTTGCAAAATCTATGTATGCATGGAAAAACTAAGATTGTTTGGGGTCATTATTGTTTTTTGTTTTATTTTTTATTTTTTCTTCTGTTTTTAAAACATGTTTGTTTAGTATTTTAAAGTTTTTAGTTTTGTTTTAAAAAGCAAGTTAACATGTTTTTGCCCATTTAGTATCACTTTTGTTTCATGTTTTTATTTTTTTTTTCCTTTCATTTTTAAAAGCATGTTTGATTGGCATTAATTTTATATATTTTTATTTTTTTATCCTTTTTAAAAAAATCAACTTGTTTTAAAACACTCAAAACACCTAAAATAATTTTTCGAGTGCTTTTAAAAATAATTATGTTAATAAAACATGTTTTAATTTAAATTAAAACATAATAAACAAAAATAGAAATGATCCCAAATGATCCTTATGATATTTTCAGTGTTTTCAAAAAACAGCCGTATTTTATTTTAACATGTCAAACATGTTTTATCTCAAATAAAAACATAAACAAAACAAAATAAATTAAAAAAGAAAAACCCAAGCAGCCCCTAAACTTCTATGAAATTTAACAGAGTTACAGCATACTTTCTGTTGTAAACACACCAAGGTTTTGCGGGTGTAAAATATGGCGTGAACACTTGAAAAACCAACAAAATGCAACCCACACCCCATTCATAAATCTGTGTTACAATCCAAAAAAATAAAATAAATTTGATGGTTTAATTCCATGATCACAGAACATCCAATCCAAACATACAGCCAAATACTCTTCTATGCTACTTAAGCCTCCCCAGCATGACCATCACCGCTCCTTTTCAGGTTTCTTGAATCTCTGCATTTTCTTTAGGAAAAGCGTCATCAAAATGAATCTTTCCACATCAAACGGCCAAGCAAACCTTCCAGATTAGGCACTGATCTGTGAGGAAGATCCAAATTCATATTAAGTTATAAGCCATACTGATATGAAAAGTAAATTGGACAATGGGCCTTTATTGATGTGAATGATCCTCCAATGACTTTATTTCCTTCCTGATGCTCTCTGTTGACTAGAGTTGTTCCATGTGGTTACTGTTTTTGCATAATTTCCTGTTAACTAATTCCAATCCCCCATCCAGGTATTTTCCTACTGTGACTTCCGTTCCTTTCTACTTGATGTTGAACAAATATTTCATGCAGCCATTTCAGAGCGTCTTGTGGTTTTCTAATCACCTTCTCCTACAACTTCTATTCAGTGACAACCTGTTGCTTTCCATTTGGTATCAAACTAATAACTAAGAATTGAAGATTTTCTTTTTTTCCCAGCACTTTCTAATTGGATATTTTGGCCTTTTATTTCAGATTGATTAACGGAATTTTCTATGAAGTTCTATAAACATAAATAGAGGTTTGATGCGTACAAAAAAAGAAAAATTTGTATCCTAGTAAAATTTTAGTTAGATGTGCTATAGGCAATACTTCTAAAATTTAATTCCTTGATTAGATGAGAGAGTTTAATACTTTTGAAAAATATTGTCTCCCAGTACAGGTATGAGGCTTATTTCTTTGATTAAAATATTTTTATTTTCTACTTTCTTCTTTTATATTTTAATATTGGTTGAAAACGTGTCTGATTTTAAACAAATTTGATGTATTCTAATTCTTCAAAGTAAAATTCTAAGTATTTGCATGAATTTTTTGTTAAAGTTTAAGTGTTTATGATCAATAATTGTTAAAAATCTATTCATCATTTAAATAAAATTTGTATGTTTATTACATGATTTTATACATCCCATATTAGATCTAAATGACAAACCGAAAAGCCAAAGACATCTTACATTAATTATGCGAGTAGGAATATTTTATGCAAAACTAAACACAGTAAAACTGAATTGTTGGCCTTGCTAAACCCAAATCCCATTAAAGTGTTCTTACTATAATAAGCCTAAACCAATCTTTGTTAAATATATACCAAAGTTGTCATATTATGTCACTTGAACCCCCATGTTGTTGAACCCTAGCAACACTTTCTAAATTTTACTTTCTCAGTACATGCAAATTAGAAATGCTCCCACTTGCATAAAAAAAATGTCTTTATAATATCACTTGGATGATTCATTAATTGATTGCCTCTGAATACCTCACCTGCATTAATACAATATGTTGCATAGATAGTTAAACATGAATAAATTACATCAAACAAGTTGAAGATGAATAATTCAAAAAAATAACTAAAATTGGGAAGTGTATTTATTGCATGGATGAAATGAATTAAAACTAAACAAAATTACATCAAACTTGAAGATATATAATCAAATAAAATAACTAAAAGAGGATGAGACCACAGCATGTTTGTCTAGGACATGTTAAACCCATATATGGCTATTGAAAACTTGATTTAGCATAACGAAACAATATATCTCAAGGAAAAATACAGCTAAAATGCCTATTAAAGAAAAATATCTAAGAGATACCTTAATGAAATTGGCAGCTTTCGGACCGCCATCCATATCAAAACTGTTGAGAAAATCAATAACCATAAAAGCAAACATAAGGATAATCCATAAAAGCAACAAAATCACAATGACTTGTAAAACTTGGCACATAAACTGATTTTAATTATAAAAATATATATACATTTGAAGCAAATAGCAAACGATATCAACTATTCAATTGTATCTACAATATTACACATTTCTCATAAAACTTAATAAAGGGATACTATCTACACTCATATTGAGAAAAAAATTAAAGTATTGAGAGGTAAATATTTAAATCAATAACTTCCGCCTTCATCAAAGATTAATAAATTCATTATACCTAACGATTATGAAAGTAGTTGTGCACTCCCTCTCATATAGTTGCCATAAGAATATCCTAGATGAAGACCAATGTTGTAAAAAGCACTAGATGCTCTCGAGTTGATATGATTGTTTAATTTTTGAGGCACTATGTGCTATCGAAGGCCTTTGTCAAGGTGAAATAAAACACTAGAAAAGAAATAACAATATCATACAAAAACTGATTTCAAGTGTGAAGAATATTTTTTAAGATCATAGAATAACTATAATTCTTATAAATGGGGGTGAATAATGAATTTTCAAGTTCCATTGTATTCCAAGTTAAAACTACTTAGAACTTCTTGGTAAATAGATTTATATTGAACAAGTACAATAAACTACTTAACTTTCTAGCATTCTTGTCCTAAAAATAATAAATCTTCCCTTCCATCTATTTAATAATGCCACCATTCATGCACATTGCTCTATTCATAGATTTGTTTTGTTGTTTTTCATATTTTCCTCAATCTCCTCACATTGACCTTCTCATCCTCAAAATTTCACCAACATAGCTCCTATACCTAACTATTGTGTAACTTGTTTTCAAGCACATAACCTTTTACAACATTTTATAGCCGTACCAAATATTAAATTATCATAAAAAAATGAGCTTATTTTTTTGTATTGTCATTATTAGTGCGGTCCCCTTAATCAAGACAGATGCTCATCACATAACCTAGTACTTTAAGGCACGATGCTCACTAAATAATGATTGATGCCTACACTTAAAGACAAGTGACGTGTTATGGTCTTGCCTTGCAAGAGCATCTAGATGAGAGCCAAGCTTGATTTTAACATCACAAAATTGCAAATACAAAAAATTGAACTATTGATCCTGAAATCAATTAAGGGTTTATTTGGGACAACTTATTGTCTGCTTTGCATTAAAAATCGCCACCATAGCTCCATTTGAGGAACTGTTTTTTGTGTTAATTGCAAAAAAATTCTATGGTGGAAACTGCTTTCTATAACCTGAAATGTTAAGGTATAGTGAATGTAATAAAAGTGTTGTCCGTTTTTTTGAAAAAAAATATATATATATTTATAATTCCTCTCGAAGTTTTCTAAGAATTTTTTTTCTTCACCAGAGCTCCTCAACCACCTTTTTAAAAAGTTACAGCTACCCAAACAGACCCTAAATTAAAATGATAAATTTTGTTAATCATTACACTAAACAAATAAATTTGATAGTTTAATGAACCAAATAATCTTCACCACAAATACTCGATCTATAGCTACTTAGAATGACATAAATATTTTGATCAGAAAAACTAAGTGTGAATCATCATGGGTTTGAGAAGAAGTCTCCATACAACCACGTCCAATTAGTAGTTATTAGGATAGGTTTAGACAACAATTTCATAGCTAAGATTTAAGCTTATAATTTTTTGGAAAACCCATGAGAAAAATATACATGATGCCCCAACTATTAATAAAATGTCTGCACCAAGATGAAAAAATATTCATCTCACTTCCTCCATTATGCAAACTTCATAACCATTTTCTATGCTTATTAGCCTATTTTCCTTCAACTCCCTTTCCACGCTTCTCTTATCTCTCTTTACTCATGTCTTCCCTTTTTTTCTTTTGAAAGTTCATATTCCTCCTCTCCTTTCATTTCTTATTTCTCTCTAGATGCCCTACATTTCCGTGCTTTATTTTTTCGCTTTTCATACACTTTCAATGCTCTGTTCCAGTCACTTCCCATCTTTATCCCAAAATATAATCTTCTTCATAATCTTCACCTCCTTTCCACCTAATTCTTGCAATTTTACTCAAAAGTTGTTCAGGTTTTGAGTCATGTTTTTAGAGAGTTTATATGCAATTAGATAGGTCATCCAACTAGGTTTTCTAGAGCATTTGCATGAATAAATGGCAATGTTAACTCTACCTGAATAGCTATATGATATAATATAAAAAAACCATTTCAGTCAATTTTAAGATTTTGCTCCTACTCAACTGATAGATATCACTCAATTCCCAAATGCATATCTCCTTATCCTTATGAACAAAAAAAAAAAGAAAAATATATATGGATATGTAAATGTATATAATATATACATGTATATTAGATAATATTTAGCAAGTGGAATGCAATATTTCAGCGGATGAAATTTCAATTTATCAAACTACTATAAAAATTGACTTATGGTGGCTAATTCAATTTTCAAGATTACATGTTAGCTAATAAAAGGATAAATATAATTATAATTTCCCCCACTTTCTCTTGAAGATGTATTTTAGGCAATCTAAGCTTAGCATGCAAACAAGAAATAGTATCCCCTAAAAATAACTTATGATTTCGCAACCTATCACACAACATTACCTAAGACCTTGTCAAGCACCCTTCTACCCATGTTTCAACGATTACATATGATCCAATGGATCTAAACTAATCAGTAATCAAACAAACACCTAAATTGGAGCAAACTAGTGAAAGCAAACAGACGAATAAAAAGCTGATCCCTTTGGGACTTTTCAATTAGGCTCAAGAGTGGTTCTATTGACGCTTCTCAGCATTTAAATATGAATCATAGTACTTTCGTTAGTATCTTTTTCTAGTTTTAAGGCTTAGCAAGTAGTTAGAGACTAGTTACCTAGAATATAGGATTAGTTATTTACTTGAATTTAAAGTAGTTTTTCTCCTCTTAAATCTTGCATTTAGTTAGAGAATTGAGCTTATCTTTTGTATTATAAATAGGACCTAATTGACGTATGGAGGTCAAGTTTTTAATAATCAAAATGTAAGATTTCATATTTTTATCCCTCTCTCCTCATTTTTCCTTTCTCTCTCTCATCTATTTGTTTCAATTGCTTGTAGGACCATGACAAAAAAAGGCTACACTTATTTCTCTTTCCCATATATGTTTTGGCAAGGATTGGAAGCCAAAAAAGTCTGGGAGCAGCAAGGCGCAAAAGGATTCTAGAGGGCCCCATCATCTAAAATTTGCCAACAAAAATTGAAATTATTACAAGGACAACAAGCTTCCATTTATTGAAGAGGATTAGAAGAAAAGAAGTTTTCACCATTCCATGCCAATTTCGTCTCCAGGACACTTTGATCATTTGACCAACTATCACTTGACATATTGGGGATGTATAAATTTTACTGCAAGAATGCATGTGAACCCTTGCAAGGTATTGTTCTTGTTCCCAATTATCTCAATTAATGATATCAGTGCCAAGGCAACATAGCAAGCAAGGATCAACCAACGGCAGAAGATAAGAAGAAACATAGAGGGATAGAACAATAGTTTATTATACAAAAAATGAAAAAAAAAGAAATTAACATCCCCAAAAAGTCCTACAGCACTTGAATAGTAAAGATAGCTCAATCAATTGGTTAAATAGCAAGATCAAACACTGATATAGCTTGCAAAATAGTAAGGCCAAGATAAAAGCTAACCAAAAGAACGGGGGCCAAAGACTGCTCCAGTAGCTCACCGTAAATAGAGAGATGTGGTTAAAGAAGAGTTACTCAGGCTAAATAAATACGTCGAGTTACCGCTCTTGGTTTTATTCGGCCTTTGATATGAGAAAGGAAAAGAAGTTGATTTTAAGGAAATTAATCAAAAGATTGAAGTTGGAGACAACGCATCATCAAAATCCTTATCCATTGAAGTGGTTCAAGAAGAGGAATACAAGGTGAATCATTAGTGCTCCTTCAAGTTTGCAAACACGAGGCGGTATACCGATAAGGTAACCAATGAGCTAGTGCCTCTTATTGTGTGCTAAATGATTTTTGGTAATCCAGACCTCAAGGAGCACGATAGCATAATGTCAATGGCAATTTCAGTTCAAATTAGGAAAATATGAACTTTACACAGAATTTTTAAAACTACTACTTTCATCCTGATTTTATCTCCCTTAATCGAGCAAAAAAAATCATTATTGCCAATCTAAGTTTTCCATTATTGCTCATGCATAAGATGATGACAAACCCAAATAAATCAAAACTGAATACTTCCACTGCACGTGACCCTAACTGAAGGCAAACAGATTAACCACTCTAACAAGAGTTTTCAACCCTTTTCCATGAGGTGAACGATTTACCAAGTAAAGAATGATGTTTTCAGATATGTTTCTCATCAAAGACATAGAGCGGGTGAGGAATATTGCATTATTATTATGAAATAACCAAGTATGTGTGCGTGTGTGTACTCCTCTTAAACAAAAAGTAATGAATTGGGATGTCTGAAGATACAAGTAAGAAGCCTGATGTAAGGGAATTAAAGGAAATGGTGAGAGAAAAAAAAAAGTAGCTTGAGAGATCCCACATTACGGCAATACCTTTCTGGAATTAGTGGAGAGGCGATACATCTCAACAATGTGAAAAGCCTTTCAATGATCGATAGAGCTTGAAATCAAAAAAGACAACAGCTGACAAAATTAACCATGTTGAGAGGTCCAATACGAGTGGCCATTAAGCTCTAAGGAGCTGACAAAATTAACCGTGTTGAGAGGTCCAATACGAGTGGCCATTAAGCTCTAAGGAAAAGAATCACGGAACAAGTCAGAAGCAGACCTTTTGGAAGCAAAGGATATGGGGTGACAACAGCACTTGAATAAAATTTGTTCAAACCAGCAAAACGTAGCAGACATAGGAGTAGAATGCAGGTCGCAAAAAGCAATTTGGGGGACGTAGATTTCTAGAATATAGATAAGAAAAAAGTACTCCTAACAAACATATGGTTGTGTTTCATAAGGCAAATACGCAAAAAGGCTATCCAAATAAACCATTAACTGAACAACTACAATCAATCAAGTAACTTTCCAAGTTAAATTTGAAGTTATCATTTTCTCGTATAGTGTTCTGGATTAAAGAAGTGCCTATAAAAATGAGGAGTCATTTACATACAGACCACTAAATTCCTACTTATTTACATATCTAAAACCTAAATTTTATTTTATTTTTACATTTATACCACATAAATCCTTCATATCACATAAAAAATATCACTATTTTAATTTTTAAAAAGTGAAATACACAGTTTCATGCATGAGAAAAGGGGCATAAATGTAAAATTTGAAGTTTAGGTGCTAGATATGTAAATACATAGGAATCAAGTGGTGTGTATCTAAATATTCCAAAATGAAGTAAATAATGAAAACACCAGAAACATAGAAAAGAAAACAAGAGCCAAAAAAGCTACTAACAAACACCATGGAAGAAGCCAGAATAAAATGCTATCTTATGAACATCTGCACCATAAATACCTTATATCAAATGCAATTCCACTACGCTTTTCAACAAACTTCACGATTGGTACACGAGCCTTTGGTATAACCTTAACAAAAGCATAACATTGTAAGACAAAAGAACAAAAGAATAACTTTTGACTATTTCAGGCAAAGAAGATGTAGCAAGGACGAAGTAAAAGAAGAAAAAAAGAATGTGGAGCTTGGGAATCACTACTATTTAACTCATATATGATGAAATGATCAACATATGTCAGCTGACCTGCAGCTTCTTAGCAATTCCTTTTTGTGATAATGCCCTAGCAAGAGCATAAAGACCAGTTTGAGGTGTTTTCACTTTTGAATCCAAAATCACAACCTAAAATAGTTCAAATAAGCTAGTCAAAATCATTATCATACAATCTAGCATTATTTTGTGATAAAAAACGTCAAAGAAATGTTTTCATGAATAAATTAGAAAAACAAAAAAGATTAACAAATAACAACGGATAAAATGGTCTCATATGAGTTCAAGATGGAAAATTTTAGATGAAACCGGTAGGACAAGGAAGCAAGAACTAACATGCTAATCTCAAATCCCAAACATAATATAAATTGTAAAATCAGTCAATCCCATTACAATTCATTGGAATGCATAAAAATGAAGATAAAAATACTTACATCAATATCACTGGTGGGAAGATAGAGACCCGTCTTGAATGATCCAAAAACTTCCACCTAAATTCAAAAGAAAAGAGCATAATACAAAGAAGCAGAGCATTTTTTAATCAAATCTAGATCACAAATATGCACAAATTAACTGGAAAGAAGTACTATTGAACATACTCTGCAATGTGGCCAGATATATTTGACCACCTGAACGACACAGCCTAGAGCAGTATCACGTTTGGCTTGTTCTTCAGGAGTTGGCGAAACAAATTCAGAAAAATCAAGTATCTCTGCAATTATCATGATGATTTCCAATATTACATAATGCTTCATTTTGTAAAAAATTGTTGTGATACTGATTTGCATTTAATAAATGATCGAAATGTATGATATACTAAACTTCATACAATTCTATAATATAATAACCTTAAAAAACTAATTAAATTATCCAAAGTTATAAAAAAAAAATCAACAAAGCACCTTTTTGGGGAAACTATATAATCGTTCTGAAATAAGTTACATTTTAGCTTTTATACAACTGACCTTTCTCATAATTGTTGAAAGAAACACCATAAGGCTGTTCAGTCATTCAGAAATGCAGAAGCACATGCAAAAAGCTATGTAAAACAATAAACCATCATATCAAAATATATCAAGTTAAAATAAAAATGTATCTCATTTCTCCCATCTTATGCATAGAAAACCTGACGATCACAACACATTAAATAGAATTTGATCCTCTACAATTAGGGCCCGTTTGGGGCAGCTTATAGGGTGCGGCGGCATTTTGAAAACGCCGTCGTCCTGTTTGAATACTACGTTTGGTTGAATGATTTGGTGCCGCGGCGTTCGGATATCGCAATTTCCTTATGATTTTCGCAAGTCGGAGAAACCTGCGTCCCGCGTATGATTTTTGCAAGAATTCCTTTGTTGCCCTTCCGAGATCTCCCTCGCCCTCGCTCTTTCGAGGAGAATCGACCCTCCGCTCCTTCACTTTGACGGAGATCAGCGCACATAAGGTATTATCTTCAGCCGATTGTGCCTTCCCAAACGTAGGAAACTTCTGTCGCACTCGCCACCTCTTTTCTCTTCTACTTTTCTTTCTGCTAGGGCATGAGGAGTCAGTGCTTTAGTAGGAATCATTGCCTTCTTGCCCTAGACACATGAGAGTTCCTTCACATGAGAGTTCCTTCCGC